ATAAAAGCAAAAAAAATCCCCTCCTTAAAAGGCAACGCTCTCGCCGTCCAAGATGCAATCAGCATCCCTGTGATCTGCAGCCAGGCTCCGGGGTGAGGAATCCGCGCGCCGACGGCCTGGAAAAAGGGATGTGGGAGCCCCGTGCGGGCGCCGGCGCAGGGAGGGCCCCGCGTTTCCTCCAGGGCAAAATCAACCCGGCGGGGCCTGTTTAGGAGGGCAGAGAGTCGAGGAGCCCAAGCTGACAGATAGCGGAATCCATCCGCTGAGGAATGGCCGGGATGCGGCCTGGATAAATCCCGGCGGCGTCCCGGGCATCCCGGGCACAGCAGCGCACACGGAAAAGCAGCCAAACGGGTGACAAGGAGGGCAGTGCCCGGGAAGGGGACGCAGGGAGCCCTCCCCTTCCGCCGCGCTTCCCTGGCGGAGCCAATTCCCTTGCGGCTCCGCGCGGCCCTTGGCTCCGAATTCCTGACCCGCAGGAATAGTTGGCACGCGAAGCTCGCAATTACAGTAAGGGCTCGACGGGGAGGTTTCTGCCTCAGAAATATTTTCCAGATGGAAACCCGAGCAGGACACAGGGACTCTCCACGGGCGGGATGCGGCATCCCACGGGACGCGTGCGCTTGGCCGGGACCCCGTCCCCGCCACGAGCGGCTCCTTGAGCGGCGGCTGGAAGCGCCTCCCGCACAACGCGGGGATTAGGAACACCGGCCGCGAGCCCAACGGGAATAACGGGCCGATCCGGGCGGCCGCGCGCAGGGAGGGAGCGCCGGGCGGTGCGGAGATCTCGCTCTTTTCCTTTCTTTTTTCATCTCAAAGTGGAGCCAAAAGTGAAAAACAAGATTGTTTTTCCAAGCGTGCTGGAATCCGCTTGGATAAATAGCGGCTCCAGAACGTGGGCTGCTAAAACAATAAACTTCCTATGCGGCCGACCAAAAAAGGAGGCAGCGAAATGCCGGGCGCGGGGCCGGGAAACCCGCGCGGAGGGTCCCGGGGGGCCGGGCCGCGCTGGGGGCGGGGAGCGCGCGGGCCTTAATTCCGAGCAGATGCTCGGAGCGGCCGCGGAGCCGGCGCCTCGCAAGGGATTCGGGGAAGGCGCCGGGA